CAATCCCAAATTCCCTTTTCATGCGGTTGTTTGTCCTCTGCTCCCTCCCTCTGGAGTCGGAAGTTGTGCGAGAAAAGGGGTGCTGGCTACCGCCTTGCTCACCCTCCACCAAGCAGAACAGCACCTTAGGACCGAACTTCGTCCTTGCTCCATCCGTGAGAATGGACCTGAATTTGGGAGCCAATGACGGTGCGTTCATGGGCGAGTTCTGGTGACTTGCAAACCACCTTGCCTGCTGGGGCACAGGGCATTTCACGAGGCGACTCCTTCCCCACTCAGATCTGAGGCTTGGGGATGTCCCCATGTCCTCTGAGCTTGTCACTGCCGCCTGTTCCTCTTTAGGAGGGCAGTCTCTGTGCTTCACTCCCCACCCCTCGCTCTGCTGCTTGGTGAGAGCCAGCCATCTGCCCTGCATTTAGGATAAACCTTCAGACGTCCTGTCCGCACAATGGGTTGCACTGCGGACAGCCAACCGAAAGGTGGGACTTGGATCCCCTGACCAAGGGAAGAAGTTGGTGGACTTCTGGAAGAATTTACGGCCTCAGAAAACCCAGGGAGCAGTTCTACCATGGCCCATCGGGTTGCTGTGAGTCGGGATTGAGTCAACAGCAGTGACTTTCTCTATTTTCTTTTTCTTTAATTATTTGAAAAAAAATTTTTTAGGTGCTACAATATTAGTTTAATCTTAAAACCCATGCAATACTCAGTTACTGCTTATTTTATTCTTTTACTCATGCTTTTTAAAAATCATTTTATTGAGGGCTCATACAACTCTTATTACAATCCATATACACACACATCAATTGTGTAAATCACATTTGTACATTTGTTGCCCTCATCATTCTCAAAGTATTTGCTCTCCACGTAAGCCCCAGGCATCAGCTCTTCATTTTCCCCACTTCTTCCCCCCCTCTTATGAGCCCTTGATAATTTATAAATTATGATTTTGTCATATCTTGCACTGTCCGATGTCTCCCTTCACCTGCTTTTCTGTTGTCCATCCCCCAGGGAGGAGGTTATATGTACATCCCTATACAGTTCCCCCTTTCCACCCCATCCTTTCTCCACCCTCCCGGTATCACCACTTTCACCACTGGTCCTGAAGGGATCATCTATCCTGGATTCCCTGTGTTCCCAGTTTCTATCTGTACCGGTGTACATCCTCTGATCTAGCCAGATTTGTAAGGTTAGAATTGGGATCATGATAGTGGTGGTGGAGGAAGCATTTAAGAACTAGAGGAATGTTGTATGTTTCATCATTGCTACACTGCACCCTGACT